GATGGAACTAATGGGCCAAGCAGTATTTAAAAGAATACAGTTTCTGTGTAATTATTTCGGGTGTAAAGCTAGCTGGGTGGTGGGAAGCGGCCCACCGTTCCTCTTCACTACACATGGCTTTTCAATTTTTTCCTATATGCCTAGAAAATTTTGTTTATTATTAGTACTTAATTACTGAACAAGCCACACTTCTTTTGATAAAGCCCATTTGATGATAGTATACAATTATTTTTATGTATTTGTTTTAGTTGGTTCTACTTTGCTTAGGGTTTTTGTGTATATATTTATTAGCCATATTGGGTTATAGTTTTCATTTTCTTTTCAAAACCTTTTTCTGATCTTGGTATTAGAATAACAGTGGCTTCATAGAATGAGTTAAGATGTATTTGATCTGAATTTGGGACAATTTCATGTAGCTTTTAAGTAAATCAATAATGATAGTTAGAACTTTTTGTGAGACATGAGAAACAATATAATTTGAAATGAAAAATTTCATTGAAATAACAAAAGAAAAATCCAAATTTCAACATTAAGGTGGATATATGGAAGTAGATTTCACTTACAAAGAAGCACTTTGTAGATGTTTACATAGGAAAGAGTGTGTTAGCCTATCTAAACTTATACCCTGGCACTTCAGGCTTTTAAGTCTCATGCTTCATAGATTTACTCAAGTAAAAGATGAACAAGAGGGAGGAGATATAGAAAGGCACAAGCTTTCCAACCTTATTATTGTCCCTTATACAGATATGTAATTCTTTCCCCTAGTCTGCTTATGATTTGAGTTTTCTAATTTTCCTTCTGAAAAAAATTTTCTATGGCCATGTACTTTTCAAGTTTTCCCTTTTCTCATAGTAAATAAGTCCTCATGACCATTTTGAAATGTGGTGTGTAGGTAGAAATTCAGGTGCTCATGGAGGCCCAAAACATTGGTTCTCCTGGAACTAGAATTAAAGGCAGTTGTGAGTCTCATGATTGTGGGTGCTAGGAACTGAACTAAGGTCATCTGTAAGAAGAGTGTATACTCTTAACCACTGAGCCATTCATATGATCTTCTTGGCATAACTGACAAAGAAACTCTTCTGTAATAGCAATCACTTATTTCTATGATTCCTTCTAGTTATAGGATTTAAATTACTGAATGAACCATAAAACTAAACCCAGGATAAACACAATGCTACCCTACCCAGCTTCATTAGACCTATTTTAAATAAACCATAAAAGTAAATTCAGTTTCCAAAAATTGTAGCACGATTAATAAAAACCCAGAGACAGAAATTGGGGCTCAAGCTGAAGGTCAGAAAAGCAAAATGGCCAGCTACTGGCTCTTACCTCTACCTCAGCCTGAAGTGGCAATCCTACCTCAAGGAAGCTTCAGAATGAGACTGTGTGTGAGCTGTCTCCTTCGATTTTATAAAGGGAATAAATGCTTGTGCTACTACCACCTAGTTTCTATGACAATCTAGTTTGGCGACTGGGATTAAAGGTGTGTGTCACCACTGCCTGGTCTGTAAGGCTGATCAGTGTGGCTGTTTTACTCTCTGAACTTCAGGCAAGCTTTATCTATTAAAATACAAATCAAATATCACTACAAAAAAATCTGTTTGCTATTTGAATTCCCTCCCTTTCAAAGTTAGACTGCTCTTTCTTATAGAGGCATGAACAAGGTTGAGAATCATCCATAAATGAGACCCCTAAAACTAGAAACAGTTGATAAGTTCGTAATCAATGTTCATTGTTTAATGTTCCCTCAACCAAGACCAACAATGAGTTCCCCAAATGTAGTTGAATTCTCTGGAAGGGCCAACCAGGCACCTGGCAGCAGAAATTGGACTATATCCACTGGAAGGGCAGTAATTTGTTTTCAGTTTAATAGACACTTACTTTATGAATTTATTTTCAAAGCCACATTTCTTCTGGCTCTTACACTTATTAGATTATCTCTATATTTGCATTTGCAATACTTCAAGTAACAGCACTTCTCACCAAGGAAATCATCATAATATGTTCAATTAGTGACCACTAAACAACATTACTTCCCCAAGGTCAGGATTGATAAGTGTCTGGAATTAAGAGCTGCAATCTGCAGTAGTTCCTATTATGATTACACATAACAACCCACTTTCAAGTGATTCTTTCCATAACCAGAACTTTGAGTTCTTCTGGTTAGAAAGTTTTGGTTCCCAATGGGAGAAATGCTTCTCCAAGGATGAGACATTGGTTTTGACACATTGAAAACTGAGACTGTCACCTGGCTATTTGACATTCTTTATGCCAGGAAACTTTGCAACCATAGATTCTAGCTATGAATTATGTGATTATGTATGAATTATAGTATGAACTATGTGATTATCAAGTGGAAATTTTATCAAGGGTTGTATTTAAACAAGAAGACCAGAGGGACTATGTTTTTGAATCCACAGGATCCTCAGAGCATCTCTTGACAGTGAGATATTCAGGTAAGATCACTGGGATTCTAGACTTAACCAGAAAATAAAAGGTTTTGTTCACCCACTAGGCCAGCAGTTCTCAGCCTTTCACAGGGGTCACCTAAGACCATCAGAAAACATAGTTATTTGCATTCTGATTCATAACAGTAGCCAAATTTCAGTTATGAAGCAGCAATGGGAATAATTTTATGGTGGGGGGTCACTACAATGTGAGGAACTGTATTAAAGGGTCATAGCATTAGGAAAGTTGAGAATTGCTGCACTAGACAAAGAATTTTTATCAGTTGATGTCCTAGCTAGAAAGCAAATAGAGGAAATAAATTAGACATATCAATTAGACTCATGAGCAATCACAGAATATTGTTGTTGTGTTCTCCCTCTCCTCAACTTTTCCCGTCTTCGTTTTGTCTATATTTTGTGCATGTCAAGTAAAAGTTCATAAAGCTTAGTTTTATATATTTTCTTTAGCTTGTAGGTTATTGATATGGGATGGTACCTGAACTAGGAGAAGAATAACTATCCCGCAGACATGGCTATATTGAATAATTGTACAATACAATGGAACCATTGAGCTCTTTTAGGGGTATTTTCTTAATTTGTAGAAAAGATAATAGCATTGCTTTGTGTGAATGTGTTGTTTCTATAGTTTTTTGTTGTTGTTTTGCTTGCTTGCTTGTTTTTCGAGACAGGGTTTCTCTGTGTAACAGTCCTGGTTGTCCTGGAACTCACCATGTAGACCAGGCTGGCCTCAAACTCACAGAGATCTGCCTGCCTCTGCCTCCCAAGTGCTGGGATTAAAGGTGTGTGCCACCACCACCTGGCTGTGCTTTTTTATTTTGTGTACAACGAGTGTGTATTATGTATTAAGTAGCAAGAAGAGTTTCAATTTAGATTTCCCCTCTGTATTTGGAGAGGTAAGAAAGCTAAATAAAGATATTATCTATATTTCTTATCTATATTTCTTCATGTGAATTGGGTTTGGCTAACTATATAGGCTAATGTGAGACTTGAAACTCTGAGAGGAGGCAGATGGTTGCAATGATGGTCAGACTGAAATAGGGTCTGAGACATGAGTTGGCAGCAGCTGGAATCCAGCTTTGTGACAGAAACTGACTCTCAGCCTCTGCTTTGTACTCTGGATGTGCCTTGAAGCTGTGACTAGTGGCACTCCTTGATTTCATTGCTGCTGTACTGCCAATGAGTTTGCTAAGTGCCACCTTTGTGAAATTAATCCCTCCCCACTTGAAACACCTCAAATAGATTCTTTTTTCTCCCTGGTTGTACAATGACAATGAATCATACCATATAGATGGTCATCTCTCCCTAGACATTGTAAATGTAGTGTGGTAATTGTTTTGTAATTTTTTTATTTTTCTAAGTGTCATTTCCAAGTAAGAAGCATCACACCAGGGGAAAAGATCATTGCAGATTAGAAAGCTGACCAGATGCCAGCAAACATCACATGGATGATCTGTTGGATGCTAATTCTAACTTTATTGTGGTGCTTTCCAGTTTTTAAAGTGTGTTCACAAAGAGCAGGTGGTGTTTAGAGGGATGAGACAGACAAGTCTTGAGACAGACAACTAACTCTAACTGCTATGGGTGACTTCCTGGGTATGTGCTATATAGAGGGGACATTATTATTATTTTCTCATCTTTTTTTTTTTTCCCGAACTCAGGACCTTCAGATTTATTTTCTCATCTTATGCTTGGTCAAAATTGACAATATATTTTATAGGGTGTTTGTGTAGGTGCTGTGAAGCACTTATGACAATGGCCAGCATATGCTACTATGATCACAATAAATATTAGTTGTTTTCTTTTGTTTGTTTTTAGAGTATGTACATAGCACACAACCTGGCTTAATCAGCCCTAGATTCAATCTTTAAAGCCCCAGAATCAGAGAAGGTGCAGATAGTACTATTGTTGAATTTGGATCACTTGCATTCATTAGAATGTTTAAACAGTTCTATCCAGGTAGCTCATCACTAAAGACAATAATCTTTGGAACAGGGGAAGAAAAATCACAGTACTCTGCAAGCAATCAAGTGGGACAAGAAAATGGAAGAGGAGTTCCTCTCTGAACTATATATATGACAAATGTGGGCCATAGGTTTTTGTTCTTTAACCCCTGAGGCCAGCAGACCAACCCTTGTTGGCATGAGTGTTCAGGGGTGGATAGAGGCAACCGCTTCATTGTGATGCTACCACTGGGTCACTTAAAGCTTTTCTCATGGGCGGGCTCCTTCCTTCCTTTACTATGACTATGAAGATAGATAGCACTCTTGGCACTCGGTGAGAGCTGCAGGTCGTCCTGCTTGGGGTCTCCAGAGGCAGAGCCTCTTGTGGCACAGCAATTGCTCGAAGGGGCTTCCTAAACTTTGCTGCTTGTTTTTTGCCCTGGCCGTCTAGGCTCTAGAACAGCGCCTGGCTGCCATCCCCCTCAAGTCCGGGGGGCCGGAGGTGGGGGCGTCGCGCGGCCGCTTGGGGCGGTGCTATGCTGGCGGGCCCGCCCCGGGGCATCCCTAGCTAGACTTCCTCCTGCCGCAGGCGGCCAGCCCAGCTGGAGGAAGCCGCTGTAGCGGCATTAGCGGCCACGATGAGCACGGGCGACGCCGTGTGCACGGGTTGGCTCGTCAAGTCGCCCCCCGAGAGGAAGCTGCAACGCTATGTGAGTAGGGGCGCCGACTCACCCCTGGCTTTCGTGTCCTCGGTTCTATGCCCGTGGGGTGGCCGTGCGTGGTCCTGGGGAGTCCCTGGTTTTAGGCGCGCCAAACGTAACTGTTCTCAGCGCCCTAGCTACAGGCGAGGCCGGTGGACGACGGAAAGTGAAATCTTACGTCGAGCTGTGTTGCTGCAGCACCCTGCAGCAGGCTGGCCTGGTACCTCTTGCCCGCTGTGTTCAATCACTCTATGCTGCCACAGTCAGCTGTGGAGGGAGGTGGGTTGGGGCTAAAAGTCCCATCGCCAGTTTGTATTCTGGAGCAGCCGCAGAGACATCTCTAAAGGGTGCCCTGTGTCTGACTGGAGTTCCATTTCACAGTGAGGAGAACAGAGAGAGGGACAGGGAAGTGGACAGTAAGAGGATACCTGTGTGGGATACTTTAGTGAAGCTGCTGCATTTCTCTTGGACTGTAATGATTACTGTCATTGTAGCTATCATAGGACACTCCTGTTGGTAGCCTACCATACAGTGTAACTCTTTTCTCATCATGTCCCTTCTCAGCATATTCTTTATGATGACACTATGCTTTTTTAGTACAGCAGGAACCATTGACATTTGCTATTATGAAATAAGGGACACTTGGAAAAGCACATCTTTCTACACATTATATGACCATCTTTAAGCTGCCCACAACTCAAAAATTCATTATATCTAGAGTTCTCAGGATAAGATCTTTAAAATATTCTGCTTAAAGATCTAATTGCTACTGATTTGTCTTTAGCCATTAGCAAAGCAAGAACCACTTTAGTCCCCCAGGGAGCTGCATATAAACAGATATTAGCCTTTCTTGCCCCTTTATTGGGGGGGGGGGCTGGAAGTACATTGATGGATCCCTGTCCTTCATAATTCCTATTTTCTCCGCGAAACCAAAGTGTGATGGTGGTAACTACCCTGCCATGGTTTGCACTCTGCGGAGGCATTCCACTCCAAATGAGATTCTACCTGGTACTTGTGTTTATAGCTTTCCAACTGGTATCTTTATTTTGTCCATATTAACCAATACTTCTGTTTCCATATTGAAGAGCACATATCATGTAGAAGTTCATGATTATAAGAAGAGTGCAATAATACATGGATGCTTCTAGAATTTGTAACAAGAGCACTTCCTGAATTTCAAGCTGCCCAGTGGTTCCCCTCCCCTCCATTTCTGGTTTAGACGGTGTCTTACTCTTAGAAGTCTTTGGAAAGGTTTTTGTTTGTGCTGCTGAATCAAAGAATGTTGTTCTGTTTAGTATGTAACCATCATAGATGCAGAAAATATGAGCATTTCTTTTAATAATAACAGTATGCCCCCCCCCTGGAGACAGGGCCTAGTTCTGTCTGTCCTGGAATTCACTGTGTAGACCAGCTTGACCTTGAACTCAGAGATCTGCCTGCCTCTGCTGGGATAACAGTTGTGTGTCACCATGCCTTGCCCTGCATCATTTTTTTTTTGACTCCACAAATTCCTAAGCCCAAAGTCCCCCATCTGTCATCCTTTGCACCATCAAGCTGCTTCCCTAAGTTTTCAGCTATTTTGAAGATGCATTGATATAGAGGAGGCAGGAGGCAAAAACATGTTCCTCTGCTCTACGTGTGCAGGTGAGGCTTGCAGTGCTGCTCCCTGAGTGGCTTTCCTTGCTGCCCTTAATGAAAGTCATTTAAACGATATTTTCAGAGTGGAACAAACTTTCCAGTAGTTGATTCAGAAAGATGATGAGTCTGGAGAAGGTTTATGGGTGACTCACCAACCCCCCTCCAATTTGGTTTGTATTTTGTCTTCAACAGGCTAGTTTAGGAAAGTTTGTTAGTGTTTCATAATTTTGGAAAACTTGGGTAGATCTTTTGTCATATGTAGGTTTTTGTTTGTTTGTTTGTTTGTTAAAATGGCCCTGTGCTAAGAGTGGATAATGAATAGATTAGAGATGTGTGGAGTATGTGATGATAGACAAGATTGAAAGCAGAAGAGAACCTAGGCATAAACCTTGATCTTTTAGTCCCTGTTTGAGAACCTTTTGTTTTGTTTTGTTTTGTTTTAGAGACTGCTCTTTTTTTTTCTATCTTTGAAAAATCCCTGATTACTAAGAGATGCAGGAATTCATATTGCCACTAGAGGGCAACGATGAGACACTTCGACAAAGTCAGGCAGTGCTGTTTAATTCAACTCTTGTGAGTAGTTTCTACTCCCTAACTGGCTGCTATCTCTAAAGTAGGCTCAGTGTTTGATGCTCAGAAGAAACAGAAAAGAATTGATTTAGGTTCTTACACATTCCATAGTTATAATATATTTAGCATACTAATGTAATGAAGCTAGTTAGCACAACTGGGACAATAACCCAGTTCTTTGTGTTGGCAGGCCATCAATGTTTGTATTAACAAATGGAAGCTCAGTCTGTTTTCAGGCAAATCTTTCAGTACATTGTATTTCATTTACTTGATTACATGAGCCAAGGCTGTCAAAAAGTTAGTTTTTATCATTGCCCTTTTTTTTTGAAGAAAGTTAATTTCTTTTTTGTGTTTCACAAATAATCTAGACATTTATTCTTATCATCAGAATTCAAACATTGTAGGAATGAATAGAAGTTTTCCCACATCCTACCCTTCTCAGGGTTGTTCCTAAGGACAAAAGCTGTTAGCTCTGTGGTGTTATTCTAGAAATTTTCTTAGAAAATCTGTAATTTTCTTTTCACATAAATGAGATTGTCCAATAATTTTCTCTTCCTTTTTACAACCAGTCTATATATTATTCCAAGTTAGTGCATATAGATTTACTTCATTTTCAAATCATTGTATAATATTCCTTATAATAGGTGTATAATTACTTAAGTTATCTATTGATGAACTTTTAGCTTACTTCTGTTCCATTGGTTTAAGTAATGTTTAAATTACTTAGAGAGTTGAGAAGATAGCTTAGTCACACCTGAGTTAGGTTCCCACCACCCACGTAAAAGCTGGGCACAGTGATGTATACCTATCATTCCATCAGTAAGAATGTGGAAACACGAGGAACATGGGGCTTGCTGGCTATTCAGTCTAGTGGAATTGGTGGGTTTCAGGCTCAGTGAGAGGCACTGTCAGCAAAGGTAAAGTAGAGAAGTGATTGAAGAATGACACCTAATGTCAACCTCTGGACTCACACACATGTACACATGTCAGACTATGCTAATTTATAAACTAAGCCAATATAACACTAAGTGACAGGTGCTTCTTTTGCCTCTGGATATGTTGGACATGCAAATGCAAATATTTTCTACCACTCTATAGTTTGTTTGTTCATTCTCTTTACAGCATTTTTGTGGAACCAAGATTTTATTTTATTTTTTATTTGAGACAAGATCTCATACTATAGTCCAGGCTGGCTTGGAATTCACTATGTAGCCTACATTGGCCTCAAACTCATAACAATTCTCCTGCTTTTGGAATATTAGAACTAAAAACACGAACTACCATGCCCAACTAAGACTTCAACAATTTGAAAATCAAAATATCAGATTTTGAATGTCTGTTTTATGATCAACTATTTGTTCATTTCTATGCCAATATCATACTTTTTGATGAGCATAGCTTCATAAAAATTTAGTTTTAGCCTCTATCTTTGTTTTACTTTTTCTGAGTTGGTTTGATTATTCTATGTAGTTTGCTTTTCTATAATAATTTATAAATTACTGTGTCAATTGATTTTATTGAAATTAGTCACTTATTAGTACTTGTGGCCTTGCTTGTACTTAGAAATTGTAGTATGATCAGTATTTTATAAAAATGATGAGAAAATATATCCTTTGCCATGTCAATATTTGGGATAACAGCATTTAATTTTTTAATTTCAAATATTTCAATTATAGGTCTTCTTTTAGTTTATTATTTATTTATTTATTTATTTATTTATTTATTTATTTTGAGACAAGATTTCTCTGTTTTTAACTTTGGCTGTCCTAGAATTTGTTCTGTAGACCAGGCTGACCTTGGACTCACAGAAATCTGCCTACCTCTGCCTTCTGAGTGCTGGAACTAAAGGCATGCACCGCCACCACCCAGCTAAAGTTTATTTTTGTTTTATGTGTATGGCTGTTTTGCTGGCATGCATATCTATATACCACGTAATGCCTATAAAGGCCAGAAAGAGTCAGATCCCCTGGGTCTAGAATTATTACAGTTGTGAGTCACCTTGTGGGGTCTGGGAATCAAACCTGGGCCCTCTGCACGATCAACAACTGCTCTTAAACACTGAGCAGCTCTCTGGTCTCAACTATAGGTATTTTGTAGACACTTTAAACAAATTGAATTTGCTGAGCATTTCTGTCTGTCTGTCTATGGTTTTTTTTTTTTGTTTGTTTGTTTGTTTGTTTTTGTCTTTTTTTTTGAGTCAGGGTTTCTCTATGTGGTCCTGGCTGTCCTGGAACTAGATCTGTAGACCAGCCTGACCTCAAACTCAGAGATCCACCAGCATCTTCCTCCTAAGTGCTAGGATTAAAGGCACCACCACTGCCCAGTTTACTGAGATTTTTTTTAAAAATGAGAATTGATACTTTTTAATCTATAAAGTAACAATTTGCTTTTCTTCTTTAGTCTGCTACTATAGTGACTTCTTGGCTATTCTTATTTAATTTTTGCTGTTTTTGAGAAGGATTTTGCTGTGATTCCTTTTTATGTTTGTGATGCTAGAGATGGAACCAGGGCTTTGCACATGTTACTAGTAAGCACTCTATTACCAAGATCCCTAGACTCCTATGATTTTTTAATGCTGAGCCAGCCATGAGCTCCCTGGATAAACTTCATGTGGTTGTCATGTATTATTGGATTTGCTTTGCTAGTAGTTTGCTGCAGGCATTTGTACTTCTGTTTATGGTAGATACAGACGTAGTTTTCCTTTTTTTGTGTGTACGTGACTATCTTTGTTTGGTTCTGATATTAGTATAATGCTGGGCATGTAAAAATAAAAAGGGAAGTATTCTCTCGCATTTTCTAAA